TTTCTTATACCTCAGGTTCTGGAGCTGGGAGTATTGCTCCCCAGTGCTGCTCTAGACCATTATTCTTCCTTCATCCTTCGGAATCCTCTGCTCCTTTGAAGTTCATGTCTGCAAGAGCGTCACTCACTGCCTCTAATTGTGGCTAGGATCTTCCACCTGCTCCTTCACCCGCACTCACCAACAACCTTAACTTCCTCTTTACACTTACGTCCCTATAGTTGTTGTTGAATTCACAATCCATCAGGGTTTCCATCTAATTGTAGCCTCTCAGCCTTCAGTCTCATTGCCAATGATTTTTCTCTCTCTCTTTTTATTTTATTTTATATTTTATTGATTTTTACAGAAAGGAAGGGAGAGGGAGAGTTAGAAACATCAATGAAATGAGAGAGAAACACCCATCAGCTGCCTCCTGTACACCCCCCACCGGGGATGTGCCCACAAGCAAGGTACTTGCCCTTGACCGGAATCGAACCTAGGACCCTTCAGTCTGAAAGCTGATGCTCTCTATCCACTGAGCCAAAGCAGCTAGGGCTGATTTTTCTCTTTGGCTCATTCCTAGGCTGTGTCATCTCCAAATCAGCCTCCTCTAATTTACTGAACTCGAGCCTCCTGGCCCTGATGCTCACCTCCTCGCCTTCCCGTCCATTTAGCACTCAGGTACTTACTCGTGTATCCTTCACGCCACAGAGACCTCTAAGCCATTGACCCATCGTTTTGTATCATATACCAACTCTTCTTCTTACCCAATTTATATCACCGATCCAACACATAAAACACTCCTGTGCAAACACCTTAAAAACCCCTTCTCTCTCTTTTTAGCAATCCACCTTGGTTAATCCCAACGATCCATCTGCTTGCTCCTTGCACCCATTTTTTAAATTATAATATTATTAATCTTCACCCAAAAATTTCTTTCCACCTTCTATTGATTTTTAGAGAGAGTGAAAGAAAAGGGGAGACACACACACACACACACACACACACAGAAATATCGATGGGAGACACATTGATTGGTTGCCTCCTGCGTGGGGATCAAACCTGCAATTGAGGTACATGCCCTTGACTGGAATCAACCCCATGACTCTTTAGTCTGTGCCTGTGGGCTCAGACTCTATCCACTGAGCCAAACAGGCTGGAACTGCATCCCCCCCCCCTTTTTTTTTTTTACTGTCACACTGGGGTTCAGGGGTAGATTCTCCTGGCATCTAATCAGTAAAAGAAATTAAGGATGCTAAATATCCTATGCACAGGACCATCACCCATATCAAAGAATTATCTGGCCCCAAGTATCAAATGTGTGAGGTTAATAGATCCTGCTTTAAATTAATACCACAGGCCTCTAAGGGGCAGCCGACACAGGGTCTTAGCATTTGCTGTGACCTCTGGCTAGTACATGATTCTTACATGGCTGGCTTCTTATTCACTCTTCCCAGAAAGGACTCCCTCATCACATGAACCTGTCTTATTGCCTTGAAAACATCAGCCATTTTGTTTATGATTTTATTGCCTGCTTCCTCTCTCTCTAGAATGGAAGTCACGTGAGCAGTGTCCTTATCTTTCTTGGTTACAGCTGTGTCCTCAGGGTCAGACATGGTGCCTGGTCCATTATACAAGCACTCAGGGAGTATTTATTGAACAGGTGGATGAAAATATAGTTCGTTTTCAAATTTATTCATTTATTCGTCAGATATTTTTTTAAAAAATATTTTTTGTTGATTTCAGAGAGGAAGGGAGAGGGAGATAGAAACATCAATGGTGAGAGAGAATCATTGATCGGCTGCCTCCTGCACACCCCACACTGGGATCGAGCCCGCAACCCAGGCATGTGCCCTGACCGGGAATCAAACCATGACCTGGTTCATAGGTCAACGCTTACCCACTGAGCCACGCTCATCGGGCCGTCAAATATTTATTGGTGATAAAACCCAGGCGCATCTCTGTGTAGTGGGAGACGGACGTTGAATAAATAAGCACACAGTGTAAATAGTTTCAAACTACGATAAGAGAGTTGAAAGTAAAGTATAAGTAAGTAGCGGTGACAGCATTCAGCAGGTGATCTGACTCAGTCCGAGGTGGGGGGTCAGGCCAGGCTTCCTAGGAGAAGTGATATTTGAGCTGCTAGCTGGAGGATTAGTTGGCTGGCTGGGTAGAGGGAAGAGGGTGTAGGTAAGCGGAGAAAAACATCCAGGCATTGAGAACGGAGTGTGCAAAGGCAATTTGGTGGGAAGTCTGTTTCAGGAACAGAAAGATGCCAGTGTGGCTAAAGCAGCCTGGCGGATGGCATTTGCCAAACCCAGTGGGGAAATAGGAGCAGAAGAGCGCCATTGGAAGACAGTAAGGATTGTCGACAGAAAGTGACAAGATTCTCCAAGTTTGTTTGAAAAGACAAAAAAAGAAGTCCCTTCCAGAGACTAGATTTTAGGACAAGAAGGGAAGCAGGGGGTTGGTTTGGAGGCAGGTAGTGTCCAGGCAAGAGGTGATGGTGGCTTGGCCTGAGGTGGTGGCAGTGAGTGTGGAGAGAAGTTGTCTGTACGTAAGTAATGAGAAATACGGAATTTTAGAGTTGGAAAACACCTTTAAAAAAACACCATTGCCCCAGCTGGTTTGGTTCAGTTGACAGAACAGCAGCCTGCGGACTGAAGGGTCCCGGGTTCAAATCCCATCAAGGGCACAAGCCCAGGTTGCAGGCTCTATCCCCAGTAGGGGGTGTGCAAGAGGCAGCCAATCAGTGATTTTCTCTCATCATTGATGTGTCTATCCTTCTCTTCCTCTCCTTTCCTCTCTCTGAAATCAACTTTAAAAAAAGACAAAAAAAAAAAAAAAAAGACACACACACACACACAAAAAGACCATGAACCAAAAAATGAATGAATAAACGAGTTCATTAAAGTCCTAACCGGTTTGGCTCAGTGGATACAGCGTCAGCCTGCAGACTCAAAGGTCCCAGGTTTGATTCTGGTCAAGGGCATGTACCTTGGTTGCAGGCACATCCCCAATAAGTGATGTGCAGGAGGCAGCTGATCAGTGTTACTAACTCTCTATCCCTCTCCCTTCCTCTCTGTAAAAAAATCAATAAAATATATATATATATATATATATATATATATATATATATATATATATTAAAAAGAGTTCATTACAGTTTGCATTTATAGAAAAACGCGTTAAATGAGTTGTGTAATATGTTTATTGAATACAAGAAGGGAAGACCTACAGAGACATGTTTAAGAGGGAGGAACAAAACAAAAAAAGGAAATTCGTGAGAATTGAGGGGGAAAAGGAGAGAGAAAATGAAGGAAGACAGGTGAGCGAGGTGCGGGGTCTGGGAGGTGTGGCAAGGTGGGCGAAGAGGAAGATGGGAGGGAACTGGGCAGGGAGATGCAAGGAAAGACTCATTGCTGATGCTGGACTCGAGCGCGCTGGAGACAGGAGGGTCCAAAGGTAGACTAAAGGAGAGGACAGTGAAATAGGAAGTGGAAAAGGCAGGAAGGGGAGAGGATAAACGCCTGGGAGGAGTGAGTGAATGTGGGGTGCTGGGAAGAGCTATCCAGAGGGAGGATGGGGAAACAGTTTGGGGAGGGTCAGAGAAGGAACCTGAGGGTGCGGTGGGATCCTGCGAGCTGAATCAAAGGTCCCAGATGAGCCAGATGTTAGGGAGACAGAGCGGGTGGGAGAGCCCACACAGATAGGCTGGCCCAAGCTCAGAATGAAAGAGAAATGGGGGTTTGGCTGGGGACACGGGGGTGGGGGCTGGTGGTAAGAGGGAGGAAGAGGCGAAGGTGAAGGACAAGCTTGGAAAGACGTAAGGGAGGGAAGGAGGGCTGTGACCAAGGCTGTAACGGAGGCGCCACCTGCTCCCATCTCCAGCTGGCTTCTGGTTGCGGTGGTTTCTTCCTTCTGTGACAGGGACCCTTGATGCGGGAGGGGACAGGCACTAAGTCAGGGCAGGGGTTTGAATGGAGGGGACCAAGAAGCCGGGAAGTCATGCCTGCAAGCCGGGTGCCAGCTGGAGGGCAGGGTGCCTGCTGGAGGGCAGGATGTCTGGGGGAGGGCATGGTGGGCAGAGGGGGCGGTGTGCTGGGGCGGTGGCTCTGGGTAGGACGCCAGCACAGCAGCTGAAGGGGGAATCTAAGGATTGGAGCCAGGGCCCTGACGGGGTCGGCGAGGCTAGGAAGAAGATAAAGGAGCAGAGCACCGCCCTCCATGAAGAGGGTCGGCTAGGAATAAGAAGAAAAAGCGGTAGAGCTGAAGTTGGGGGGAAGGTCGGGCGGGACAAAATGCTCCCGGAATCGCGGCCTGGAGTCCCCGCGGCGGGAGGGGAGGGGGCGGGGGCGGGGCGGGGCGGAGGCGGCCGGGGGCGTCTCCGCGCTCGGCGCCCCCCCCCCCCCCCCCGCGGTGCACCTGTCGGGCGGCGGGGAAGGGGCTTCCCGGCGCCGATCGAAGTCCGGGTCCGGAGGGCTGATTCCCGACCGGCCGCCGCCCGCTCCCCAGCTGCGGCCCCGGACGGGCCGCGCAGGGGCGTGACCCCGGCGCTCAGGTTTCCTCCTCTGCACCTGGGAGAGGAGGGGAGGAGGGGGCCGGCACTTCCGGCCCAGGTGAGTGTCCCTCGGTGACGTCAGGTCACCCTCGGCCGCCCCTCCGGTTCCGCTCCCGCCGCGCTCCCGGGGCCGCGGGGCGCGCCCCCGACGCCCTACAAATACCGGAGCCGCACCTGCCGCCGCACCCGCCGCCGCACCTGCCCCCGCCGCCGCCGCTGCACCTCGGCCCGGCCACAGCCCAGGGTCCGCGGGGACTTCGGCACCAGAGCCGCCCACCCCGCTGCGCCTTTTGTTTGGGGAGCGGCGCCGACCGCCCCGGAGAGAACGGCCCGGACGGACGTCGGGGATCGGGGATCGCCTCGCCGCCCGCTGGTCCTCGGAGCGGAGCCTGTGCCGCCGGAGGGGAGCTTCGTGTTCACCCCGGGGGATAAGAGATTCGCAGTCGCTCGACTAGAAGCTTTTATTTTTGGTTTTGATTTTGGTGGCTTGTGACTCCAGCCCGAGTCGTCTGGTGGGGTCGCCCCTCGACGTTTCTCCCGCCGCAGAGGCTCCCGCCCGCGCCCTCGCCTTCGGGAGCGGCATGGCCAACGCGGGGCTGCAGCTGCTCGGCTTCTCGCTGGCGCTGCTGGGCTGGGTGGGCCTGCTGGTGTGCACCGCCCTCCCGCAGTGGCAGATGAGCTCGTACGCGGGCGACAACATCATCACGGCCCAGGCCATGTACAAGGGGCTGTGGATGGAGTGCGTGACGCAGAGCACGGGCATCATCAGCTGCAAAATGTACGATTCGGTGCTCGCCCTGCCCGGTAAGGCCGCCAGACGGACGGGGCGGACGCGCCGGGCCGAGGTTAGGGGGTGGGGTGGGCGGCGGGCAGGCCGGGCCCGACGCCCCGGGTTGCCTGGGAGCCGCGGGGCGGGGAGGGAGCGGGAGCGCCGGGCCGGGCAGGGGGGCTGGCCGGGGCGGGCGGCGTCCAGGCGGCCACACCGGGGCCGCCCCTTCTCCCCCAGCTCCCCGGGTGGCCGGGCCCGGGCTGGCGGTGGCCTCCCTGCTCCCACCTCTCCTCGCGGACAAAGGGGGCGCGGGTTCGGCGGAGGAGCCGCGCTCCGGGCAGACCTGCGGTCTCTAATCTTATCGCCCGATTAGACGAAGCCACAGGCCCGCGGCCTCGATAGCGGGGTCAGGGCTGTGCCGAGCCGCCCTCCGCGGCCCGCGCGGAGCCTCCGGCCGCCGCCGCCGCCGCTGTCCCTGCCCCTTCCCCCTACCTCCTTCCCCCTTCCCAGGGTAGTTTCATCGAAACCGGGGCGCCCCGGGCGAGTCGCAGAGCAGAGACGGGGCGGGGCGGAGCTGGAGGCCCTGGAGCCGGGATCCACCCTGAACCGGCCCCGGGCCTGGACGCAGGGCATCTCAGCCGGCGGCCGCCGGCTCGAAGGCTGCCTGCCTCCCAGTAATGAGGCCCCCTCCTTCCTCCAGCGGCCCAGCAGGCCACCAGGGCTCTGATGGTGGTGTCCCTCGTGCTGGGCTTCCTAGCCATGTTCGTGGCCACGATGGGCATGAAGTGTACCCGCTGCGGGGGAGATGACAAGGTGAAAAAGGCCCGTATAGCCATGACCGGAGGCATCATCTTCATCGTGGCAGGTGAGTCACAGGTCCAAGGAAGTCCAGGGCTCCGAGTTAGGGTGGACGTGGTGCCGGTTTGAGGGGGGGGGGGGGGTCCTCACAGTACCTGCATCCTCATTCTCTCTCTAGGTCTTGCTGCTTTGATAGCTTGCTCCTGGAGCGGCCACCAGATTGTCACAGACTTTTATAACCCTTTGGTCCCCATGAATATTAAGTAAGTATGGGAGTTTTGCCTCCTGAGGGGACAGGTCTGGGGTCTGGAGAGACAGGCCAGGGTTTCTGACCGCAATTCCCTCTCCCCACAGGTATGAGTTTGGTCCTGCCATCTTCATCGGCTGGGCAGGGTCTGCTCTGGTCCTCCTGGGAGGTGCAATGCTCTCTTGCTCCTGCCCTGGGAGTGAGGGCAAAGCTAGGTATGGTGCTCCCCGCTCCTACACTAAGCCCAACTCTGCCAAGGAGTATGTGTGAGCCGGGACTCCATTGCCCCAGCCTGGCAACCTACACTTGGAAGGACCTGGGGCAGAGCTCGGCCTGTGGGCAGGATGTGCGGGCGCTGTGGGTCGCTGCATTCCTGTACACCATGTACAGTTCCCTGGGGGCTGGGCGGGGGAGAACAGAGGGTGGATGTGCTTTTTGTACAGTAATAAAAAGTATGTTTTGGAAAGGAGGCTTCTTTCTTTCCCCTTCAGGGCCTCTGCTTCTTCCTACTGAAATCCTTACAGGGAGGCTGGGACCTAAGTACACCTATTTCAGCTAAAAAACCCCACAAAAAACAAACAAAAAACACCCACACCAATGGTGTGCCGGGCATCCTGTTCCAGCAGTTCATTGTTCTTCTGGCCCCACATTATTGACTCTTGAAGACTCCGGCACTTCGTTTCCTTAATCCATTGCCATCTTCCAGTCCCTTCTACTCCCAACTCTTGCTTAAATAGCTACCAGAGAGTTTCTTTTTTAATAAAAAAATATTTATTAGGCGTGTGTGTGTGTGTGTGTGTGTGAGAGAGAGAGAGAGACAAGTTTCCTAGTCTCTCACCTTTCCCTCTGCCCCCATCCCATTTTTTGGTTAATCCTCATCTGAGGATATTTTTCCATTGATTTTTAGAGCGAGTGGAAGGGAGAGGGCGAGACAAACATCAATGTGAGAGACACATTGATTGGTTGCCTCCTGCATGCACCGTGACCAGGGCCGGGGAACCTGCTACCAAGGTACATGCCCTTGACCAGAACCGAATCCAGGCCGCTTCAGTTAACCGGCTGATGCTGTCCACTGAGCCAAACTGGTTAGGGCCCATCCCACTTTTTGTCCGACTGGACACTGCTCCCCAGCTCACGGGTCACAGGGTATGGCCTCCAGACACAGGAAACAAAGGAGGGGAAGAAACAAGGTAAGGCCAACTGGAACAATGGTTATAGGCCCGCAGTCTCCTAACCCCCCTCCAATTCAGTCTAGTCAAATATCTAAGTCATCATCTGGGTCCTCTTGGTCCAGGTCATCATAAGCATCTGGCTCATAGAAGATACGGCTGGTAGGTTGGCCTAAGCCACGGCACAGGAGAGCTTGCTGCCTGAGAGAGAAGAATTGGTGCTGGTGAGGATGGGGAACAAGGGTCCTATCTGAATACCCTATACCTGGTAACTATGACTCCTTCTCTGTACTCCAAAGTTTTCTTGGTCCCAGTCCCTTTCTCTGACCTCCTGATTTAGTTAGTATTGAAGCACCATTTGGTCCTGGAATAGATTACCCAACACCACTCCCTTGCAGCTTGAGGGCAAGGATCCTGCCATAGTCTTACTTCAAGCACCCACACACTGGGCACAGAACAGGTATCTACTAAGCCCTTGTTAACCTGCCTCTGCCCACTCCATTTAGCTTCCTGTCCTGACCTTTTCCCCAGGGTCTGTTCTGGCTCAGCTCAGACCCAGATGTGGGGCTGGAACCCAAGGCTGTGATGGAGGAAAAAGATGACAAAGGCTTTGTCATTGTTGGGGTATGGGTGGTAGAGAGCCACTCCCCAGACTTGGCGCTGGAGATGGACTTCAACCCTAATAAAGTCAGAGGTTAATCAACAACCTGTTGTCACCCCACCTCTGGGGCCCAGACACTGGGCTCTATGCTTAAGGACCCAGGGATATAGGCTGCAGCCTTACTTTTCAGAGCTGAACTGGAAGGGCAGGGTCAGGCTATCTTTGACTTCCTTCTCTTTCTCGGACAGGTGAAGGTTAAAGGTCAAGTGAGTAGTGGGATCCACCTGTAGGTACAAAGGATGCTGTCATTATGCCCCATCCTTGTAATCTCTGCCCCCACCCCCAAACCTCTGCAGTTTTTATTCTCTCTTTTTGCCAGATCCCAACCCCATTCTCTTTTCTGGCCCTGGCGCTCTTAGATACCGGGTGTGTGCGAGGATCTGGGTGGGGCTGCGACTTCAGGGGAGACTCCCCTTGGAGGTCCAGGCTGAAGTCAGGCAGGATGGAGAACCACTGAATCTGGGGAAAAGGAGAGTATTAAAAGTTTTTTTTTCCATCTAACTGAAGAAACCAGAGAGAACTTCAGCCTCAATCGGCTGTGTCACTGCTTTCGGCTCTTGCTCTCACTCCTCATTCAAACTTATGAACTTGTTCCTTCCCCTCCCTAGGAACCACTCCCAGTCTTTTCTCCAGTTCCATTTCCTGGAACCAGTATCTTTCATTGGTTAAGCTCACAGGATCTGAGTTTCCCAGGCCACAAAGCGGGGGTAATAAAACTATCTCACAGGGAGCTGTGAAAGTTAAATGAGGAAAATAAGGAAATGATGGAAGCACAGAGAAGTGCTTCATCACATCGGCTTTTTTTTTTGTTCTTCCCCTCTGTCCGACCCCAACCTTTGGGCCTCCCAGGTTTCTCCTGACCTTATGTGTGAGACGATGTTGGGGCCTCCGATAGAGAATGTGAGCTGAGGCCTGGCCCCCTGTACCACTCAAGGTCACTTCAGTCTGAGCAAGGGAGCTCAGTGCTTCCAAGGGGCCCCGGCCATGTAGCTCTTCATGCAGCAGGCCCAGCACACACACATGTTCTACCGGGGAGCTGTCATCTGGAGAGGGACAAGAAATGCAGGTCACACAGGGCGAAGGGAGCGTTTAGGGTGGAGGCCCGGGATCAATGGTGAAGAGGAAAGAGAGAGAAGCAGGCCCATATTTCGTCACTGCTCTGCCACACTCCTAGCTCAGTGTGGCCGTTTCATGGCCCTGCATTGGCCTCCTCCAGCTCTCACCTCTCATGAACAGTGGAACCTCATTTCTCGAACTTAATTTGTTCCGGAAGGCTGTTCGAAAACCGAATCATTTTTTCCCCATTAGAAATAATGTAAATGGAATTAATCCCTTCCAGACCCCCAAATAATTGTTTTAACCTTTCTCATATATAGTACATGTCTATTGTACTGTTTAATCTATAAATAAACACTTTAAAAAAGGACATGAAATGTAAAGGAAAATTTAATGAAAAGGAAAGGAAATGTACACCAAAAAACGAAAATTTTACAATAAGTATAAACAGCAACAACAGCAAAAGAACACGAAAATGTTCACAGTACAACATCCTGAGATTTTTAACAGTGGTTAACTGACTCATATTTGTACGTTTTCTCCTTTGTCGCATGAAAGATGCGTGACTCAGCATACAGGTATCAGCATGAAAGGGTTGTCCGGTAGAGAGGCGGATTGTTTGCGATAGGAGACTTTCCAAAAACCTGGGTCCATGGTACTTCCTACTCCAATGTAGATCTCATCAGGAGACTACCGACTACAGCTCTCGGGCACCTCCAAGCCTTAATTAAGGATGAATCAGCACTTTCCTCACAGGGCCCCCGCTTCTTACATACCGAGTTACTTGCAGCTTTTCGAACTTGCCAAGATCCCATTGGTGCCTTTTGGGGGAGCATTTACACTATACTAAACACTTTACTGTAACATTTCAATCCTTATACAGTTCATCATTTTTAGGTTGAACCATATGAACTTGCTCATATTTGACATTTAACTACCTCTGAACTACAAAAAATGGCAATTCCACATGTTTACAGAGGAAACTGAAGTACTGAGAGATCAAGTACCATAATATAAAGCCAGGTTTCTGACTTCAAAGTCCATGCTGGCCTGGAAGTGCAGGGCTAGTACAGGGTGTGGCAAAAGTAGGTTTACAGTTGTTCAGATGGAAAGCATTTCAGTAAATAAAAATACAAGAACAAACTCTGGTTTCACAACTGCACTCCTACGTTTGCCCCGCCCTGTACTAGCCCTGCACTTCCAGGCTAGTCCTAGTGCCAGGGGCCTGGCCAAATCTGCTGGGCTCACCTCTTATCGTCAAGGTTCTTATCAGATTATCTTGTAACTACCTGTTTACTTGTCTGTATCCTTGATGAACTTTGAGCTCCCAGAAGACAAGGACTAGACTACAATTAAGTCTTTATCTTCCTATTATCTAAAATTGTACCTAACATGCTGTATGTATTTATTGTTTGCTGAATGAATGAATAAAATCGATGAGTAAAAAAGAACTTGGAAAAGTGATGGGTAGGTGGCATTACAGGAAAGTCAAGAACTAGAATAAAGGTTAAAGAGATTAAAAAAAAAAAAAAAAGGCCTGGCCAGCATAGCTCAGTGGTTGAGTACTGACCTATGAACCTGGAGGAAATGTACACCAAAAAACGAAAATTGTGACCTGGAGGTCACAATTTGATTCCCAGGTTGCAGACTTGATCCCCAGTGAGGGGTGTGCAGGAGGTAGCCGATCAATGATTCTCTAATTACTGATGTTCCTATCTCTCTCATTCTCCCTCTCCTTGCCTTTCTGAAATAAATAAAATATACTTTAAAAAAAGAGATTGAAAAAAAGGCCCTAGCTGGTGTGGCTCAGTTGGTTGAACATCGACCCATGCTCCAGTTTGATTCTTGGTTGGGACACATGCCCAGGTTGCAAGCTTAATCCCCAGTAGAGGGCTTATTGGAGGCAGCATATTGATGTTTCTTCTTCTCTGTCTCCCCCTCCCTTCTTTCCCAAAATCTATAAAAATGTATTTTTAAAGAATGGTTAAAGTAATACATTTTTTAAAAAGAGACGGAAGAAGAACCACTTGGAGATCTCTGATATGTTGTTCCTTGGCAGAGGGACACATCTGAGGGGAAGTAACGAAGGAGGGGTCTCACCGCGGTGGGAGTCCTGTCGGCTCAGAGCATGCAGGGCTTGGCAGAGTGCGGTGCATGGAAGGTGGAGCAGCAGCCAGCTCAGTGAATCAAGCGCAATGGTGACAGGACCGGGACCTGCTCTCCTGCGCATTGCTCTCAACACTCCCAGGGCCCCCCCCGGAAGGGCCTCTCCAGTGTTGGACCAGTTGAGAGGGTCTTGGAAGAGGTCATGGTAAACCAGCCTACAAAGAGAAAATAGGAGACAACATACTGCCCCTCTACCAGTCTTGAAATTCACCCTCTGACCTTTGTGGCGCTGTTTTCTCAGTTTTTACCAGTATCTTATATTCCAGTGAAAGGTAATAATGGAGAAGTAGAAAATAGTGATTGAGTAAAGAGACTTTGGCATCAGACAGCCCTGAACTCGAAGCTTGCTAACTGCCCAAGGACACGTAATGGATAAATTACTTAATCTTTGGTTTCTTCATTTGTAAAACAGGAA